GGCTGCAGCGACTGGCCAGCACTTACAGCGGGGGCACTGGTGCTCCTGCCTAACCCCCCTGCCCATCACCTAAGCAGCGATACTCTCTTAAAAGTGAAAGGTACACCGGTGCTCTCAGGGAGTGCACGTTCACCCCCATGCACCCCCTACGTGTTGTCACTGCTCATAGCAACCATCTTTTCTGGTCAGTTCCATCACAGATGAATTTGAACATTATGACACCATAATTCTTTTTAGTATTTTCAAACAAACAAAACATTTCAGTGTTCCTTTACCTGCACAGTACTGTTTATAGCATTCGGTAAGTTTGCAAGTGTTTTCAAGGCTTTTTTGAACAAAGGAATGTTTAAACTGAGGGACAAAGCACAGCAGATATGAATACTAGGTGTCAAAATGCAAAGTGCAGAGGGACCTCAAGATAGACTAAACAAGTGCAGTACTTCACAGCTAGAAGTTCAGCTCTTCTCCCCACTACAACCTCTCCATACCACCCAATAGGTCTTGGCTGGTACTAGTCTTCAAAGAACTCCATCCAAATATATTTTTATGATTAAAAGAAGGATTACAGCTTCTAAACAATCAGTTAACTTGCTCCTATCACAATGTTTTCCATTAGCTCAGGTGGAGATCTAACCAGCATGGAAACGCCACTTCAAGGAAATGTTTAACTTTTGAGATTAGTGGGATTTGATACTCACGGTTTTCCTCCTGGGATGCCTGTCAGACTGGGAGGGATGCCTGGGACTCGCATGTGATGATGTGGATCAAAACCAACCTGCAGTTTTCCCCAAGCAAAACAAAAAAAAAAAAGGAGGGGGGAGGATATATTAAGCATGGAAATAAACAAAAAAAGGTAGTTCCATGGCCTTCCTCCAAAACTAGAGATAGGCTGGACTACATTCAGCCCTGCATGTCTTTATTTTAGCTCACTCTTCCTGAACTCTAAATACAACTTTGTTTTCTGAGGCAGGAACTTACCACTGGAGACCTCCCGTAAGCTGCTGCTGCTGCTGCCGCTGCAGCTGCTGCACTCATTTGAGGGGAAATGTTATGTAGACCAGCATACGCAGCTCCTGGACTGGTTAGTTCACCATTCATGCCGGCGTGTGGCACAATTCCAAATGGACCAGGGTAAGGACATGGTACTGCCATGGGGGTCCTTAAGCCTGAAGCTACGGAGGGAAAGAAAAAGAGAGCTAACAAACCAAAAAGAGAGAGAAAAGAAAAAGAAAAAACAATTCAACAAGAAGTCTGGGGAGCAGTAAAACATTGCTTAGTTTAAACACTGGAAAACCAACTCAGGGTTCTGCATAAGCAGGTATATAAAATGTTTGTGAAGTTCTTCACTTAAAAGGATGCTCACCTCCTCTTGGAAAAGAACAACGCAAATAAAAATCAAAGACACAGGGGCCACATCTACACGAAACACTGATTGTGCAGTAGCAAAAAAATACTGCGCAGTAGTACATCACAGCACAGACAGTGCTAAAATACTACTGTGCAGTATTATTAGGCTACTGTGCAGTAGTGTCACCTAAAGGATGTTTGCCAGTGCATTTATTTAGTACTTGCTAGTACAAGTACTAAATAAATGCACAGTAACAACTGAGCAGTAGCATCTTGTGTAGACATGCCCATGGTGTAGTTTTATAAAGCTCTGAAAAAAATAGATCCAATTGTTACTTACCCAATGGGTCGACTCCTGGGGGTTTTCCAGGCACTGGCCTCAATCCAGGAGTAGAATTGCTGCCTGGAGTTGGAGCATCAGTCCGTGGAGTTGGGGTATTTGATTTAGACACAGGAGTAGTGGATTTCTCATTCTAATTATAAAGGAAGACAGTGAAAGGCAGTTATTTATTTTACTTTCAGGCTTCTTAATTAGCAGCTGTAGATACCGTAGATGAAAATCAGGATGTGGTTTGATTTGTGGAAGCTAATTTTAATAGTAGTCACTGGCAATGCTGAGCAGCAGGCGTGGCTAATTAAAAGGAAAGGAAGACTTCAGGAATCACCATAAGAATTCACAGCTCTTGCCTGTTAGGACCCCAATATGATTCCTGATAAGATCCATAACTGAAAATCACTAACATATTTGACCATAATATTACGATATCATGAAATTTGTTGGTGGTCTGTCTGCTCCTAGTGGACATGTCCACATCACAACTAAATCAGGGTTACTGGCAGTTTCACTGACAGGCCAAAAAGGAGACTGTAATAAATCAACTTGTCCCCAGAGACGATCCCTGTCAAACAGAGTTGAGGAATAATGGCTGGGGTACCATGAGGAATTCTGCATTTCTTGCCACGTTGAGGCCTGCCTATCCAATGGACAAACAGTTAACTCCTCTATTAAATCACGTCTTTCTCTCCCATACACACCTTTCCTCAGTCCTGAATTTACTTTTGAGAATTTTAAAAAAATGTAAAAATTGCAAGTGCCCTAACATGCAAAGAATTAAGAGAGGAATTACAACACAGCTCAGAACCATGATTAACTGTAGTCACAAAAGAGAAAGAAGAACACCACTGACTTGCAAGCAGCCTTTTTTTGCATTGTGATCTGTGATGCAAGTCAGGGATGACTGTTGTAAGTGGCAGATTACTTAATTCATAGATAATGAAAATTACTGTAGTTGTATATGGCCTGGTAATTCAAACAAACCTAACAACCAAATTGCATTCAAACAGGAAACTGAATTTACTATAAACCATAGCACAAAATAAATAAATAACTATAAACTTCAAGCAAACTGTGTGTACTCTTATTTATCCATAGAATTATTCGTCTCTCTCCTCCCCCACATGAACATCTATCACAGTGTAGACACATGCATCATCTATCTAAACTGGCAGTCAAATAAAGCCTTTCTATCCCAAAGAAGGGCTTTGGATTTTTCACCATATTTTTATTCAGCCCAGCACACTTTCATTTAAAGGTGCAATGAGATCTGATCCCCGATCCCAACAATCTCACATCCTGCCATACCACCGGGCTAGTGCAAAGGAAGTTCATGCTCATGATCCTGGGCTCCCTTTGCATAAGCAAGTTTAAAACTGGGTGCCCACAAGTCTAGAGCTGGGGTCAACTGCCAGCTGACCCACTGGGAGCAGGTTCATGAGCCCAGTACAGTCCCTGACTGGATCTAACAATCAGACAAACAACATACAACACAGAACATTTTTATACCTGGTTTGCCATTTTCTGGAACCTTAAATTGGGTGCACATGTAGTATTCTTGCCATTCATGCCATGATTAACACATCAATCATGGCATAAACATAATGTGTAGAAGGGCCTAAGGGATTTTTAAAAAGTAGTAGCATGTCTCCTTGTGTCTTACTGGTTGGATGAATGTGCAAAGCAGTGTATCATCACAGCTCAGAAGCATTTCAAACCACTTACAAGGCTAAGTTCTTTGGATTTGGAGGAAGGAGTACTGCTGGAAGATGCAATAGAAGCTGGGCTAATTGGTGCATCTTTCTTGAGCAGTCGGGTCTTGTCCAAGCCATTCTCTCTTGGAGAATGTGCTGGGCTGCCTCGTGGAGAAGAAGGATCCTAAAAGTGAAGAATATGGTTTAATATAATGTCCTATTAGTGGCACATAGCACCTGGCTACAGCAATTCAGACTTTTGGAGAAGGGCTCTTATTACTGGTACATGTCACATGAACACTTAACAATTAGTTAATACAGTTTTAAAATCTAGATGAATAGTGAAATAAAATTTTCTGTTCTTTACAGTTAAAACTGGAGGTCATTAAACAACTGCTACACGAAAATGACACCACCGCTTAGGATATAAAAATAGCAGAGGATTTTATTTCTCATTTTGCAGGTGGGAAACTGAGGCACATGAGGTTAATTTTCCTGTTTGGTGTCAGACAGTATGCAAGTCTCAGGACAGAAAAAGAACACAGTACTGATGACAATCAGTGCTGCTCAATGGTAGGCTGTACTGCCTTAAGAGGACTGAGATAGACTGCTTAACTGCAAAAACAGTACAGAAAACCTCTTTTGAAAAAAGAAGTTAGAGTCAAAGGTTTTTTTTGTATTAGAAAGATACAAAAAAGACCAGATTGACCTGTTCTATGGATAAAAGGCAGAATTTCAGTCATGCAGTTAACAGACACAGACTGAAGACAGACACCCAGTTACTGTAATGTACAGAAAGTGATGTACCATACCTCATTGGAGACGTCAACCACCAAATTGTCATCACTCTTTTCACCATCGCTGTCCTGAAATGACACAGTGAAATTCTTAAAAAGATATTCAAAACATATTTCTCGCTTTCATAAAAGCAATAATATCTATTCAAATATAAAGCAACACATAGCTATTTTATACATCCGGTTTCTCTGGTTTGAGTTAAGTCAATAATTAAAAATTACAAGGCCTCTTTTTTATACAGTGCTTTTCACCGGTAGAGCTCAAATTGCTTTGTGTATAAATTAAACTCACATCATAGCCAGAAAAATGGAGGCAGAAAGTGGGGAATGCATTTGTCCTACATCACTCAACAGGCAGAGGCAGAGCAAGGAAAGAACCCAAATCTCCGAAGTCTGGTGTTCTAGCTAATCTATCACATTATCTCCTAGATGCTCTACCTTTTTACAGGACAAAAGACTGACTGGTGCCGAACCTCTATAACTTCCACTTAGCTTAGCTGAAACCATAACTGCTCAGTATCTGCTTGGATTTTGCTCAGAGATTTAAAACATATTCAACAGGATTGGGTTACTGAAATTGTAGAAACAACTTAGACTAGCAATTCAGTGGAGAAAATTTCACTCACATAACGAGTTGCTATTTCTTTCTCTTCTGTTTTCTGCTTTTTACTCTCTGAAGAGTAATCTGTTGAGTTTCTGTGCTTCTCTGCTGTTCTGAAACTGGCTGATGGAGACACAGAAGAGCTCTGAAATGAGACAGGAGAGGAAAAAAAATATAACCGTACACTTAATGCTGCCTAATTTTCTGGTATCACATGTTGTTTATTATATTATTACCATTAAAGACCACCTAAATCAGGTGTTAGTGGTAGTACTGATGATTTTGAGGACTTCTAATGGATAACAGTTTGGGCTTTAAGCAATGCTAGGTAACTAGTAATGACACTGAAATCATTGCTAGACACCTTTCTATAATTCATTAGTGGAGCACTAAAGAGTTGAGAGCCAAAGTGATACTGTGATGGATTTGGAGCTGGCATACATACATAAATAATATAAGAAATAATATATAACTGAGGTTAATTCAATAAAGAGCTGTCAAAAACAAGAAGAAAGGGAAAAATGGCTGAGGATAAGCTACCCCTAAGCAAACTTTTGAAAGAATGTGTCAGTATCAGAAGGGTTAGGATCTGGAACATATTTCCAATAGGAGTTGCAAAAAAACCTGGCTACACATAAGATGGCGCTCAGTACTCTTTTAAAGGGATTACGTGACATGGTTGCCTGTGATAACAGGGGATGGCATTTGATGCCCCAGGAGATTCCTTCCAGTTCTATGTTCCTGTGAGAGCCATTAAGGAACAATGCCAGACCCATTAGTCTTGATGATTTTTCAGCCAACATCACCCAATCTAGAAGACTTTTTTGACCAAAAGGATCAAAGTTTGAGAACACAGGTGAATGAAAGAACTGAATCTGGGTTTAAAAATAATCTTTATGCAAAAGATGTAGTTGTTTGAGGTAATATGAACTCAGGGTGCTTGAAAAAGTTCATAGGATCACAGAATCATAGAAAAATCAGGGTTGGAAGAGATATTAGGAGGTCATCTAGTCCAACCCCATGCTCAAAGCAGGACCAGCCCCAAGTAGATCATTCCAGTCACAAATTAAGAAAAGACTTATAGGCAATACAGGTATGTAGACTGCTTAGCAATTTAAAATCTGTTTTGCTCTTGAGATCTGTTCTTGCTAAAAGACAGACAATATTTTTCTTTTTAAGATGGATGCATGATCACCGTTTATCACAGACTTCCATGGTAAAGAACCACAAATGTCCCACATTAACCATGTGTGTCAATGGTCCAGCTTATCACGGGTAAATCATGGATGCAGATGTCCTGGACATTGAGCAAAACTGAAATTTCATCTTGGGGTAGGAAAAGCAGAAGGTTCAACAGCCACAGGGGTACACTCAGCAAGACAAGAAAGGGGAGAAAGGTCAACTATAAGTATGCTATAACTATGACAGCCCTCTATTACATGATAAAGAATACAGCCATGGTTCCTTATTTAAGTAAGAGGAGAGGGGGGGAAGGGGAGATGGAAGGACGTGAAATAGAAAATAAAACCATTTGTACTATATGTATTAAATGACTATATATCTATTCAGTTGCTGGGAACCGGAAATGGAAAGCATTCACTCAGACTATTTCCAGAACTTAGTTGAGAAAGTCTGTATCCTGACATACAAACACACAAGTACACAAAACACAGGCATGCTGACTCATTTCCAATGGGCTTAATATTTCAGGTGCTGAGCTCTCTGACCCTGGTCCAGCAGAAATTATGTATGAGCTTAACTTTATCTCCCATTGAAGTCAGTGTTTAAATGTTCAGAATTAAGCTTGTGCTTACATATATGTTACAAAACTAAAGCGGATAGAAACAAGAAAGAAAGTAGGTGCTGTCTCAACAGAAACGCTGTTGATCTATTTCTATCTGACTACAGCAAAATCCTTGCTATCCGGCACGAGTGGGGAATAGGGGGTGCCGGGTATCTAAAAATGCTGATTACCTGAGGCCATCGAGTTTTGGCCACACGTGGAGTGAGGGGGGGGCAGCAACCGCACATGAAGCAACTACAGAGCAGGGTGGTAGGTGGCAGCAGTGGCCACCGCATGCAAGTTTCCCCCGCTCCCCGTGTCTAGCCGCCCAGCCAGAAATTCTGGTTAATACAGACTGTTCTGGTTACTCAAATGCTGGATAAGAGGGATTTTACTGTAGTCTAGTTTCAAAAGGAATAACAAAATATCCAAGTGATTTTACAAGGAAATAGGTTTTACTGGACGCTAAGATCTAGGTGTTTATACTGCCTGACATATGCCCAGACATATGCGTTTTGTTTTGTTTTCCTTTTAATTTCACACACGCTGTTATGAAATATCACAGCCACCACACTTGTTTTTAAGTGCCCACCTCTCAAACTGATAGATATTTATCTTCAATCGTAAAAACCAGAATGCAAAACAAGAAATCAAAATTCACGTTTAAGAACATATCTTCTTTCTCTTTCTTTACTTCAAATTGTTTCTAGACCGCTAACTTTTAGAAAGGATCAGGGGATACCTAACCACAGAATTAAACTGCAGCTGCCCTTGCTGAACATGAGAATGTTTTCTTATGCTTGAATATTCCAGTCCTAGTCTCCATTACTGTTACCTGAATTTTCCCCAAGATGCTAACTCTGATTCAGCTCACCAAGTCATGGTAGACCTAGTCAAAAGCAGATGCTAGCAGCCATTGACACTTTAAGAACTGTGCCATATTGACCTATCTTGTTGAAGTTGAACTTTGGGCCATTATGTTCTCCTGTACGCTGAGTTGCCTGGAGAACTATTTCCTACAGTGCAATGTGGATTTCTCTCTGACTAGAGTCTTATAGGAGTCATGCAACTCTGAGATATTACAGAAGATGTAGTCAAGTCCAGGAGAATGGCCCATATGGACAACAGGTATCAGGATCCCAGATTATAACTCCCCACAGAGGAAATGTGCTGTAATGGAGAAAATGTAATTTCATTTTGAATGGACCCAAAATGAAACATGACAACCTCAGCACATTGAAAGGGAACATTTTCATCTTGGGAATGTCAAACTATTTAATTCAATCAATATAAAGTATTTTTTGATGTTCAAATTGATTTTTCAAAAATGTTTTGGAAAAAAAAATAATCAGAATTTCAATTTTTTTCATCTTGACCCGACATGAAGACTAAATGTTAGAACGTGGGGATTTTCTGCAAAACTTAAATTCCCCAAATTTCCTTAACTCAAACCAGCCCACTTCAATAAAAGCTGCAAGTCTCTTATTAAAGCAGGAACAGGGCAAAAATATGTAGACTTCATTAAGAGCTAGCACCATTTTTTCATATTCCAGTACTTCTTTAAAATATTAAGGCCCTAAATCATGATAGCACACAAGCACATTCTTAACTTGAAGTACAGATGCTGACTTCCACTGATTTCACAAGGATTTATGCAAAGATAGGAGCTTTCCTATAAAGTGATCCTTACTTCAACTGAAGCCTTTATCAAGATATTTATAAATATCTGGATGAAACTTAAAGAAAAAGAAGGAAAAAAAAAGGAGGAAAAGCCTATGAAAATCTGACAATTTTGACCACGTGCAATTATTTATATATTTACAATATTGAATGAGAGTGGAAATCTGAACACAAAGCAAATGTTGCATATGACCAATAGCCATTTCATCATTATGAAAGAGGTAAACAAATGTCTGCCCTTCACAAACACTGCTGAAAATGGGTCAAATATTTTAGATTTTAAAAAAGCAGACAATTCCAATTAAATATTTCACTGTAAAGTGTATTTAATTGCAATTGCAATTACTATACTTCTGCAAGGCAGCTTTAAACGCTCTAGACATACAACACATTAAGACACTGGGGCCCAGTCCACATGACTGTGGACATTTGGTTCCCTGGGGTCAACTACTCATCCCAGGGGGAACACCTGTGCCATGCACCCTCTGGTGCATGGCAGGTTACCCCGGCTGGGGTAGGAGACGCTGGGGCTAGCACTAGATTGGCCCCAGCAGTCTTACCTGGGGTCCTGGGGGACTCCTGGGGCTCCAGGAGAGGCAATCCTGCCACTCAGAGCCTGGCTGGCAGCTGGAATGTGGCTCTGGCCAGCCAGACTCCAGTTCTGAGCTGTGCACATTGCCACTACGTGCACCACTGCGCTTTATTTTTGCGTGGTGTTTTTTTATCCCTGGATATCCAAGGGTCAACTTCCCCCCCACCCTCTGCCCCCCGATAGCTCCCTTGCAGCACAGAGAATAGCTGAATGTGCAGTATGTGGTACTCCCAAGACATATCTGTGGTGTTGCATACTGTACAGTCGTGCTCGTCTGAACGTGGCCCGAGATGCTAGTGGTCATATGAATTCCCTAAAACAGAGAAAAGCCAACTAAAACTGCAATATTTAAGAGAGCTGATGGCTTGGAAAATGTATTTACTTACCATTACTATACAGCATACCCTTATGGAAAAGAATATGAATATTAAGAGTACCCCTATTACATTTATACTCATTTCCTAAATTGAGAGGAGGCAGCTTATAATGTAAATTCATTCATTATTGCCCAAATTCTCCATATAGGAAATAATTGGCTTTAAAAAGAAGAAAAATAATCAGCAGCAAGTTATAATAGGAATGTTGTCTAAAGAATTAAAGTAAACTACCGCACTTAAATTAAGTAGAAATATTTATTTTCATAAATTTGAAACCATGTGGTTCCATTTTTCTCAATCTGGTTAGCCTTGGTGCTAAATATATTTTAATCTTTGATTTTGCTCCTTAATAAAGTTATAAATTAGAACTCCCTACTATGATTATGAAGCAGTAAATTATCACTAGCATTTAAAGGATGATCACCACATTGGGGCAACACATCTTGCTGAATGGTGTAATTACTTCAGAGTCAAATCAGACCTTGTGCCAACATGGAAATTAAGCCATGGAACTTTTTGGATGTTGGTGGTAAGTAGATTAGCAATACCACAGAAAAAGAAGCAATATTACAATAGAGACAAAAGTATACCACCACCAAGTATATTTGCTGCTTCATGAAAAATCCAGATGTTTAAATGCTATTAGACTTTATATAACATGAGACACTTGTTTTTAATGACAAAAACCTGGGCATCCATCACACAAATGCATT